TGACCTGAGCCGAAGGCAGTCGCTTAACCAACTGAGCCACCCAGGCGCCCCAAGAATCTGAATCTTGAACAGAGCTTCTCAGGGGTTCTGCATGTCAGAGTTTCAACTCTGCTTAGCTGAGGGCAGCAACTCTGCCAAGAAGTCAACCGGTGGGCTCTTTGTAGATGACCCCACCTTTAGAACAGATGGACATCTGAGTTGAATATATTGATCAAAGGCTAGGCTGTTGCCTGGTCAGGACTTGGGCTAAATAGGCTGAAGTTGATTAGGGCACGGAATTTAATGAGACTTCAGTTGGCACCCCTTAGGGCCAATTATTTGACTTGTTCCTTGGCCATGGGCCTCTGCTAGAACTTTCATCATTAGGGAAGTGACGTGATGCGGTATGGTTTTTCCACATTTGCTGCCATTTCTTACTGGGTGAGCTTGAAGAGACTGCCCCAGTCCTCCATGATGCTTATTGAGTACCTTAGGGATAACAATAGTCGGTTAATGTGCACAGAGAACATTCCATCAGTGGTAGCTAGCACTAGTGAGGAACATTAAGACCAGGGACTGCAGTGGCAGACCGCCGGGGGTGCATTCTCTGGGGTGGAGTGGAGGCTGGGAACACCTCAGGAGCCGGACTTGCCTTGCCTCTGGGAAAGCTGCAGCGTGAGCCCTGACGTCTTGAGCTGTCATACAGCTGTTCCAGCAGGGAGGAAAAGTCCTCGCATTTCCTGTGGACAGGCTCCTCATTCATTTTGTAAATATCTCTTTAATCAGAGTGGCTCTGTCTTTTCAGCTTTCTTTCCCTTTTCCTCTGTCACTTAGATTGGAAGTTCACCGATTTGCCTCTGAATTCGTAGTCACTCTGTCTCTGAATGCTTCCTTTCAGCAGGACCCGAATCCCTCTCAGCAGTTTGACTAGAGCCTCTAGGTAAAATTTCCTTCCCTTCTACTTTTCTCTCGATAACTCCATCTCGCTCTGGCTTAGGTGTGGGGGCTTCTCGGTTAGTTAGCGTGGCTCCCTCACCTAACAGCACCATCGCATGGCTCTCCTGGCTGACATGGCTGTTTATTCTAGTAAGCGGAGTTCCCGAACGTTAGCTCTTCAGACTTTTAATTCTTCTATTGTCAAATGTATACACAATGGGTGTGTATATGTTTCTGTAGTTCCTTATGAGCCTCAGTATCTCAGGAGACATTCTCATATAAACAGGCAAAGTACATTAACAGATGATTCAAGAGAGCAAATGAAACAAGGGAAACTTTAATAGCTGTTAGAGGGGCCCCTGGGTGGCTCAGTCGGTTAAGCATCTGCCTTCGGCTCAGATCATGATTCCAGGGTCCTGGGATCGAGCCCCACATCGGCTTCCTTGCTCTTGCGTGGGAAGCCTGCTTCTCCCTCTCCCTGCCTCTCTCTCTCTCTCTCTCTCTCGGTCAAATAAATAAATAAAATCTTCAAAAAAATTGCTGTTAGAGAAACTTAAAGTACTAACTTTTTAAACCTAGCAAACCAGAAGGCATGTGAAAAAGATACTTGTATGACTTGATGTGCCGCTGGTGGGAGAAAAGTCCTTTCTCACAACTGCTCTGCTAAGAAATGTGGTGCAGGGGATCAAAAACTTGAGCTGTTCTGACCACCACAGCCTCCAAGCCCACCCCAACCATGGTGTTTCATTTCAGAGACTCTATTCTAAGAAATGTTCTGAATTTGAAATTAGCAATTTGGAAATATTTATCAGAGCATTATTTCAGGTGTCAGACTTGGAAATGACCCAAATACCCACAATGAGACAAAGTCACTGCAACAGAACCCTTCCTCAGTTGTCCACAAAAGGCCACTGAAATCTCTACAGAGAAGAAATAATAACGTGAGGATTTTTATATCAAATGGAGGATGGAAGTAGGATCCAAAATATATCTGTGGCATGAACATAATCCTGTAAACCTATACAAAGGAACTATGAAAATCAGTATCAGTGTTAATAATAGTGTTTAAGTGATGAAATCATTGACAGCTCATATTTTGATTTTTTTCTGTATTTTTTTATGAGCATACATTTATGATAAGGAAGCTCAATCCAAGATTATGCAATAGAGGTAGGCTGTTTGTGTTTACTTATGGGCTTTACTTGTTCATGTCACGTGGGTAGTCCATACTCCTGGTTTTCTCCAAATGCCTATTACCACGGAGGTCACATATTCCAACACCAAACCACACCGAATGTTTCAGTGCATTTCCTAAATGTTTCAGATGTAGTTTGTAAGACTCTCTCTGCCTTTGAGAACTGAGTACTTACTGCCTTTGACTTTCCTTGACGCATAACAGAAGCCCACATCCTTACTGGATTTCTCCTCCTTTGTGTCTCGTCTCTTCCTAATCCCCTTTTACCTTCTTGATCAAAAGGATTTGAAGCTGGCACTCATTTTCTCTTAACGTCATGTTTTTAGACAATGGGCCTTGCTTGGGATACAGAAAACCAAACCAGCCCTACAGGTGGCTTTCCTACAAGCAGGTAAGTCATGCCCATGGTTTTGGGTAGATTCTTTTGTTACTGTGCTATTCTGGATAATGTGGTCTCTTTGAGGTCTTGACTGCTTTCCCCCCCGCCACCTCCCTGTCTCTCTCATAGGTGTGTGATCGTGCAGAGTGCCTGGGTTCCTGTCTCTTGCATAAAGGATATAAGCCATCACCAGACCAATTTGTTGGCATCTTTGCTCAGAATAGGCCAGAGGTAACTATGCTCAAGTTAACTCCAGAAATGAGTCTAAAGACTTAAACCCCGCCCCAAAACCAGCACTCTGACACTTGCTGATGACTTACCAAAACTATTTAAAGCTCTCCTATTCTTTAACTATTGTCCCCCTGTAAAGAGTTACAGCTCAGGGCCTCCTTAATCCCTGGTTGAATGCCTAGTACTCTTAAGTTAGTACCTAGATTTCTGTCATTTCCTAGCCCATGATGATTCCCTTTAAGTCAGTCTCTTTGTTGTATGAGGAAAATAAGGAAGCTATGTGGGGCTGGCAAATAAGAGCTTGTGGACATTGAAGAAAGGGGGAGCTATCTGTATTAGAATTGGAACTTGCGTGTTGTACTTGAACTTGTCAAATAAGGTACCCATTGCCACTGAGACTGGTGTACCCATCTTTCCACAGTGATTGAGAGCAGATGTTACACATTAAGATGATTGGAATTAAGCTTTAGTTAAGTCATTAGACCAATATCCTCAGAGAAAGCTGCTGCAGAATGGTGGGATGTCCTATGCTCCCTAGTGCCAGTTGTTTAACCAAAACCCTGGGAGGGCACAGACTGCACTTTTGGGTGAATCTACATTATCCACCTTTGTGACACCCAGCCTCAACAGGAAGAGATATCCTTGACTCTCATTTAGGAACTTAATGCCAAACCTAGTGTATTCATCTGCTTGGGCTGCCATAACAAAATACCACAGACAAGGGGGCTTAAACAACAGAAACTTCTTTTCTCATGGTTCTGGAGGCTGTAAGTCCAAGATCAAGGTGTCAGCAGGTTTGGTTTCTACTGAGGCCTCTCTTCTTGGCTTGCAGGTGGCTGCCTTCAAAGTGAGTCCTCACATGGTCTTTCCTCTGTCATCCCTGTTGCCTCTTCCTCTTCTTACAAGGACATCAGTCACATTGGACCCCACCCTTATGACCTTATTTAACCTTAATTACCTCTTTAAAGCCCCTATCTCCAAAAGCAGGGGTTAATTTCAACATGAATTTAAGGTGGGGAGGACACAGTTCAGTACATAACACCATTAGCAGATTCTGACCCACCTTTCCAGTTCATTTTGTATTGCTCTTCATGCCTTTTGATGTATACACAGTGATGTTGTGCTATCTTATCTTTATTCATCCACTTCCTTCTTCCCTGAATGCCTGCCCTGCTTCCATCTCCAAATCTTACCAGTCCTTCAAAGCCCTCCCCAATTTCTATCACTTTCCCCAAAGCAGTCCCAGATGGCCTTTATCCCACTCCAAAGTGATTTCTCCTTCCTTAAAATTCCTTAAAACTGGGGCACCTGGGTGGCTTGGTCAATTAAGCCTCCAACTCTTGATTTCAGCTCAGGTCATGATCTCAGGGTCTTGAGATCAAGCCCCGTGTAGGGCTCCATGCTCAGCGGGGAGTCTGCTTGGGATTCTCTCTCCCTCTGCCCCTCTGTGCCCCACCTAAAAAAATCCCTTAAAACTAGTGGTTTCTGTACCTTTTATGGATGGAACTTACCACACTCTACTTTCGAATGTTGGTCCTTTGTACTGTAGTTGTCTGTGCTAGCTTACCTCTCTTATTTAACTGTACTCTATAGCATTAGCAATGGAAGTCTCTAGGGCCCCCAGGCGATTTATTTTAACACAAAAGCATCAAATAAGCATTTGTTGCCTGAATGACTGAAGTGTAATACTCTTCCTTTTCAAAGTGTTTTCTAGTCCTTACTTGAGCTTTTCCCCATACAGTGGATCATCTCTGAGTTGGCTTGTTACACGTACTCCATGGTAGTTGTCCCGCTGTATGATACCTTGGGAGCAGAAGCCATCATATTCATTGTCAACAAGGGTAAGACTTTGCTATTAAATTATAACTTGATTCTGTCTTAATGCTAAGTAATTCCTCAATATCTGCTTTTGCTAGCCAACTTGGAATGCTATGGCCAGAATTTGCTGAAGTCTTTTCTGTTCTGTAGTACTGAGGCTATAATTTACAAGGAAATTACAAAAAGCCCAAGCAGGGGTTGGCTTCTACACAGAAAGTTCGATGAAACGCCCAAGGTGGCAGAGTGTGACGATAGAGTTTAGAGATAAGACTACTTATTGTGGCACACTGGATGAGTGACTAAGTCATTTAATTGACTAAATCACTATGAAACCACTGATTTCATTTCCTATTGTTGTAAATCCAGTCAGTACAGTTAGTCAGCATGTACCAATGTCCACGGTGAATTTGTAGAAAAGAAATACCATTGTTAGAGAAACAAGTACAAGTTCAGTGGTCAAGTAACAACCCGTTTCACATATCCACAGTCTTACTTTCTGTCCCAGAACTAGTAGGTTAAGTGACTAGACGCATCTGGACTATAGACACAATCACAAGTGTTTTATTTTTACAAACAAGTATCCAAGAAAATGCTAACATGTCGAATCATAAAATGTTTGCCTGCTAAAATCCCATTTGTCCCTTCTTTTCCCTTCTACTCCGTACTCCCCTCCCCAAAATAAAACACACTGACAGGACCACACCTGAGTGATCCATGTTTGTTGTCTGTATTCTTAAGCAGAAGGAGTTTCGTGACTCTAGAAGCTGTAAACTATCTGGGCAGCATGCATGAAAACTATGTGCTTCTGTTTCCATTAAGCTCATTTATTATCGATGGAATGCTTCAGGTTTTATGCATTATAAATCTGATTTGCAGATGTAATCTCTTTTGGGTACCCACTAGCTTTGAAATTTTCAAAAATCTCTCCCTCGTTGAAAGGCAGTCAGGGACAGAGCAGAGCAAGAAGGTGACCTCCGGCTCTGTTTCTGCTTTCAGCTGATATCGCCACAGTGATCTGCGATACACCCAAAAAGGCATCAATGCTGATAGAGAATGTGGAGAAAGGCCTCACCCCGGGCCTGAAAATGATCATCCTCATGGATCCCTTTGAGGATGACCTGAAGCAAAGAGCGGAGAAAAGTGGAATTGAGATCTTATCCCTGTTTGATGCTGAGGTTTGCGCCCTAAATTCAACTAACAGCTCGAAGGCTGGTCTACCACCAGGACAACGAGCAGGACACTGACCAGAGAGCACGGGGTCCACAAGACTCCTGCTGTGAGGCTTTGAGAATACTTTTCCCTCAAACAATTGAGAAACTGTGTCGGAGGAGAAGCACAGTCTGTGGCCCGTGGGCACCGACTTCTAAGTAGAGGATTTATCAATACTGAGTTCAGCGGTAGCGAAATAGAGGGGGTCCTGGAGTCTGGTGGCAGGGTTCACATTCCAGCGCCACATCTATGAGTTAGGTGACCTTCGGCAAGATTCTCCACATCTCCCTTCTCCCCTCTGTAAAATGAGGCCGACATAGTCCCCACCTTGTGGAGGAGTTGTAAAGAGTTTGCGTGGGTTAATCTCTAGAAAGTGTTCAGAACAGTGCCTGCTATGTAGTAAGCCCTGAAATGTAAACGATTCCTGTTATTCAAAAAGATTTAATAATGGTCCTGGATGACTGGACCTCAAGAGTGGGAAGTTTGGACATCTGGAATCTGCCCTCTTGACGTCGCTGTTCTAGAGAAACTTTATGCTCTTCCCTGGGCCTTCCACTGTGCCTGAATTTGGCTTCTAGGCCTGATCTGGGTTAGAATTTTTGTTCTCTTCCCACAGAAAAGGGAGGTGTTTGCATGGAAAAGAGAAAGAGGGGGCTGTATTTGTCATAAGTCTTCCCATCTTAACTAATGACCTCCTTTCTTGGCTTTCTGTTCATGTAGAATCTAGGCAAAGAGAACTTCAAGAAACCTGTGGTAAGTTTTCTTCTGCCCAAATGTGAATCTTGCCCTGTTCAATTCCCAAAACTCTTGGTAGGTTAATCCCTTGTGCTTCCCTCCCCCTCTAGCCTCCTAGACCAGAAGACCTGAGTATCATCTGCTTCACTAGTGGGACCACAGGTCAGTGTGCATGAAGCTGTCCCAGAGACCCCTGGTCGGCCAAAAACATGGCTTGAGTCGTGGGTGGGCTGGTAAATATACCCTATAATGAGCCCTATCCTTAGGGTCTTACAACCTGAAGCTTTTGAGCATGGATGCCCCAATGGAAAAACAGAAGTATAAGCAAATAAATTTCATTGAACACACTGGGAGGGGTTTCCATGCTATGGATTTCAGGAGCCATTCAGACGGCACCACAAAGTCAACCTTCTTCCCCAACTCCACTCTCTCAATTTGACAGTGCCAGAATAGTTTCGCTCAATCAAGGTGACCCAGGGAGAGTTCTACACAGATCAGTGTGTGCCTTCCCCCACCCCTGCAGTAGCTTCTCTATTAGAACTCCTAATAGCTTTTGATATGGCCCATGATGACCTATGGCCATATCCTCCTGTCCATTGTACCAGTTTATAATGTGATAGTTAGGTAATATAGTTAGGTCTGAAGTCCTAAACATAAAGACAGCACAAGGTGGGATTACTTGGATTTTTGCTTTTGACTGTTACAACCTGAGATTGTGGCTAATGATGTTGTCAGCAGGAATGTCTCTGGGGGCATTAATCATTCATAAACAGAGTCCTATACCATTCGTAAGAGGACGCGGTGACAGGAGAAGCTCTTGGCTCTCTGGAACAGAACCAATTGAATGCACCTTCTTCTTTCATAGCCAAAGGCTACCTATTAGTTATTTAAAGGATCTTTATCTCCATGTCCTGTTTCCTACAGGTGACCCTAAAGGAGCCATGCTGACCCATCAAAATATTATTTCAAATGTTTCTTCTTTCATCACGTATATAGAGGTCAGTGGTCAACTGAAAAAGAGGTCCTCATTAAAATGTAAATCTGTTGTAAGATTTTAATCTTGATGTTAGAGGAGGCAGAGACATACAGAAAACAAAAACAAAAATCATGTTAAAGGCCTGAATGTGGACAAATAGTGGTGCTTCTTTGTCCAGAGGACTGTGCATTTTCAAGCCTTGGTCTTTTAGAATTGCTGCACATCTCTACACTCAGTGAAGTTAAGGGGCACCTCTCAGAGTTATACAGTGTACCACATGTACAACTGTGTGTGGCAGTCCCGGGAAGGAGTGGGTCTTTAAAATAAAAAAAAATTATTGAGATATAATTGACGTAACATTGTATTAATTTCAGATGTACAATATAATGATTCCATATATGTGTATGTTGCAAAATAGTCCCCACAATAAATCTAACATCCATCACCACACAGTTACAGTTTTTTATCTTGTGATGAGAACCTTTAAGATCTACTTAATACTTTCAAATATGCAATACAGTATTATAAACTATTAACTACAGTTAATAGGAGCTGCTTTTAAATCTCCTTTGGAAGAGAAAGTTGGCATTAACCCAGTTTGCCTCTCCTTGTTCTGATCTGTAGCATACTTTCAAGCCCACCTCTGAGGATGTGACCATATCCTACCTCCCCTTGGCTCATATGTTTGAGAGGATTGTAGAGGTGAGTGACCAGCAAGTCCTGACTTGCTAGTTCCATGTTTATTCCAAAGGCAGCTACACAACATTTCCAGTCCTTTCTCCCATGGGAAAGCAGTGGGCAGGGAGCTGGTGCAGCTGAGTCCTGACCCGGGCATAACTGCTAACTTGCTGCGAAGCCTTCCTAGCGGGAAGTAGGGCTCTGGGTCTGTCCAGCAGGACTGATGCTTGCCCCTGCCTTCACACAGGGTGCCTGTGAGTCCTGAAGTCCTAGCCAGGAGCTACTATCTGCTCTTGATTCTGAGCTGGGATAGGAAACATTGTTTCTTCTTTTAAATCTTATTTTGGTTAGAATTTTTTTTTTAACAGTTTTCAGGTTAGAAAAAAGGGAGGGTCTCTCCCCCCCCGCCCCCACCCCGCCCCTGGAAGGGCAGAGAAGGAGCATTTGATCCAGGCAAGATGTTCAAGATGTTCAGTGTGTGTGAGGTAGAGCCATTCAGGATTGTGTGTGTGCCAGAGAGCTGCCTTTCTGTGAGTGGCCTGTGGGCTTTTCAGGCAGTTCTGGGGCTGATTTGAGAACTGAAAGCAGTGCTGGCTTCCCAAAAACACATGTGGTAGGATGGATGGAAAATCCTCTCTTTGCTTCTCACTTAAACACCTTTTCAAGCAGCTTAGCTGTTGATGCATCAAGCTCCAAAAGGAACAGCTCAGCTCCTTGGGCTGAAGTGTTGACATCTGATTAATAAAATATCAATTTTAATAAGCATATTTTCCCCACATTTTCATGTCTCTAAAACTGCGATGGTCATGCAACAGTAGGCATGTTCTAGTCTAACTGGCAGTGTTGTCCTTAGTGCTAGTGAATGGTCTCTGACGAACGACAGCGTCTCGGACCGTCACTCAGAGCTATGGGTGGAACAGGGTGGGCCCTCAGTCTCACCGTCTGTCTTGCCTGTCCCACCACCTCAGCTGCAGTGAGTTCCCAACCTGTCCTGGGGGTAAGCTCTCAGAATTCTGGGTATCTGAAATGTGGGGGGGGGGCGGTGTACAGAGGAAAGTGCCCATGGATGTCAACCTAGTTCCTCGATTCTGTCCAAGACAGGCCCTACCTGCAGGGGGCCTTTGGCTCTGAGCCCTGCCCTTTGGTTTTGCTTTTAGGCTATTATGTATTCATATGGTGGCAAAGTTGGTTTCTTCCAAGGAGATATTCGGTTGCTGCCTGAAGACATGAAAACTCTCAAGCCCACAGTGTTTCCTGTCGTGCCTCGACTACTCAACAGAATCTATGATAAGGTACTAACCTGGCTTCTGCTGGGCTGGCCCTGAGATGAAGGCTTAGGCCTGACTGAGGCTCTTACAGACTCCATGTTGCTGAGATATTTTTTCCACTTCCACCCCCTACTCCCTACAACACCCACTTATGGCCACATTCACAAATGCAACTGTGAAAAACCATAATAAATGAAACCCCCTTTCATCTGGATAAGATCACGTGGACCAGATCTGAAGAAAGAGCTCAATTCGGAGACTTGGGAAGCCCCTCAAAATTAAGCCGACTTACTGAGGAGTTGTCACTGATTTCATAACACCTACTGGCTATTGAGCTTCTTGCTGAGGTACCAGGTCCCACGGTCAACATTTCATATGCATTCTGTCATTTAATCCTCACAAAAACACAGGAAATCACATTTACACTTATTATTTCCAACTTACAGCTGAGGAGACTGAGCCTCAGAGGTTAAAAAAAAAAAAAAAGCTTGACCAGAGTCACATCCAATAAGGGGTTGGGCCAGAATCATATTGTCACAAAGTAGTTAGTTGTCATTGATCACTGCTCTATTTTTCATTAGAGTGTACAACATGGTGATTTTTCTAATTCAATTCAGTTATTTCTTTTGCATTCATTAGCTGAGATTCTTCCAGAAAGACATGACAAATATTTTTTCCCCTTATTTATCAATCTTCAGAATAATGAATTGGTGCCTCGGTGATCTTCAGAAATGACCAAGATTTTTCCTTTGTACTATTATGAACTTGTGATTTGCATAGTTGTATGCTTAATCCATTTCAGTCATTCTTCGTAATGTCCAAATTGTCCCACTGTAAGTTGGGAGCCCCATCAAGCTGTTCATGTGTCCTTTTGATGTAACCCCAGTAGTTTCTTTCTTTTTTTTTTTTTTTTTAAAGATTTTATTTATTTATTTGAGACAGAGAGAATGAGAGACAGAGAGCATGAGAGGGAGGAGGGTCAGAGGGAGAAGCAGACTCCCTGCCGAGCAGGGAGCCCGATGCGGGACTCGATCCCGGGACTCCAGGATCGTGACCTGAGCCGAAGGCAGTCGCTTAACCAACTGAGCCACCCAGGCGCCCCTAACCCCAGTAGTTTCTGATCGCTTCCCTGCTTTGGGACATAACATGTCCCCAGCTTATCTTTAATGTTTCTCACCCAAGTCTTGGATTGTCTAATCTTCCCAAAGAGTCCTTGGAACTGGGCTATGAACCCAGGCAAAATAGTAATGGAATCCAGTCTCTTAACCAGGTGTTTGATCACTTCATAATTCCATAGGCATGGGAGCCCTGGGGAAATAACACCACATGGCCATTCTAGCTCTCCCCTTTAACATGTGAATCTTAGATACTATCCTGGGGCTTCAGTGATGGGGCAGGCAGCATTCTAGAACACAGATGACCCCGGAACACTGAAAGTGCTGTTTTTAACATAACTGTTAACAATCCTAACAGCTCTCAGCATGCTGTGGAATTATTTGGTGGTTATTACGGTTTTGTTCATGTTGTTAGACATTTTTACTTTAAAAAAAAGATTTATTTATTTGATAGAAAGAGAGCACATGAGCAGAAGGAGCAGAGGGAGAGGGAGAGAGAATCTTAAGCAGACTCCATGCCAAGTGCAGAGCCCAATGCAGGGCTTGATCTCATGACCCTGAGATCACGACCTGAGACAAAACCAAGAGTCGGATGCTTAACTGACTGAGCCACTCAGGCGCCCCAGACATTTGTACTTTTTTTTTTCTTTATAAAGCTCACTATATTTCTTTAAGATTTTATTTATTTGAGAGAGAAAGCACAAACAGGGGGGAGGAGCAGAGGCTGAGGGAGAAGCAGACCCCCCACTGAGCAGGGAGCCTGATGTAAGACTCGATCCCAGGACCCCGAGATCATGACCTGAGCTGAAGGCAAACACTTAACTGACTGAACCACCCAGGAGCCCCACATGTTTTTACTTTCAATAGTTTTTTTGTGATATGGTGATACTTAACACAGAGTTTACTTTTGTCACTTATTTTAAAAATGGAGGACTTTATTAGTGTGAGTCTCCAAATTCCAGCTTTTGTCAGTGACTTATTAGGAGGAGATTGTCTTGTGAATAATGAAGATAAATCTCTTAAGGTTGAAAGAGGTATCAGGAATGACTGGATTCTACTTGAGAGTAGATCTTAGAGCTGGTGAGACATTGGTAAAATTATGGTATAAGCATGAGCAGATGCCTAGAGCCTAGAGCACAGTTGGCATTAGGAGGTGAGGTTGAACAGCTCTATTTGGCTACAGACTCAGAAATGGAAATATAAATATGGAAGGTGGCTGGAGAGTTCTCTTCCAATTTTGAACTGGAAAAGAACCCTGATTTCCTTCAATCTGACTTCCAGTAGGATGGAGTCCTGAAGGCCAGAATATGGGGTTCAGGATTTAATTTTGTAAATAAGGGGGATTTCAAGTTGTACTTGAAGCTCTCCTTTGGCAGGTGTGTTTGATGGATTAGAGTCAGTGAGGCAAGAATAAGGGAGTCTAGAGAAATAATGTGAGCTTATAAAATGGTGTCAGAATTAAGCCCAAAGGAAAGAAAGAAGTAGGAAAGTCTATTGGGTTTTGTACGGTGTGGCTAGAGGAACTTTAATTATAGAGAAAAGTGATATTTCTCCAAATTTAATGTATATAAGCATCAGAGGTATGGGGGTGGGGAGAGGTGGGGCTTGTTTAAAAAAAAAAAATCAGATTCCTAGGTCTTTCTCTGATCTTTTAAAAGCCCAAAAGGTATTGCCCATTGAGCTGTTTTTTATCTAGTATTCCCAAGTGATTTTGGTAGGCAGATGCTGCGAACATTTTGAGGACATGCTTTCTTAGTTGTCAAAGTTGTTTGCCAAGGACAAGAAATCTGGAGGAACTAGAACTCTGTACATTTATACTCAGTGTACTTATGTCTTAGTGGGCCATAATTCTCCAGAATCGTCATTATTTAGCAACCCAGTTCATGAATGAAAGTCACTTCCTTATGAAGCAAGAAGGCACTATATCTTGCTCACTGATGAATGGCTTTGGTGAGTATCTCCAGTTGGTTTTGAACTAAGAGGAGCTATCATCTTGCAGGTACAAAGTGAAGCCAAGACACCCTTCAAGAAGTTCTTGTTGAACTTGGCTATTTCCTGTAAATTCAATGAAGTGAAAAAGGGGATCATCAGGCGTGACAGTTTATGGGACAAGCTCGTCTTTGCAAAGATCCAGGTAGGTTGGCTGGGTCCTGGACAGAGCCAGGCAAATATCTGGGCTTCCGGCCAGCTTATCATACTTTACTTTTTCTCTGATGGCTGAGTGTCTCTTTAATGGTGTTTACTCTCTTGAACAACTTTGTCATTAAAGGAAATTGGTCAAAAAGCAAAAAAAAAAAAGGATTTTACGTAGGTTCTAACGCATACTCTTATTCTCTTAGTTGATCTGTTGAGATTATATGTAATGCAAAGGGCCTGAGAATATAAATCCAAGGAAATATTTAAAAACTGCAGGTTGAGTCCCAGCTATAGATGATAGTGATAAGAGCAGCTAACATTTTAAGTGCTTTTCCTCAAGGCCAGGCCCTATTAACTAGTTTATTTCTTATACTGGATAGGCTGCTCTACCCATTTAGCAGTGGAGGAAACTGAAGGCAAGGGAATAGGTTTCAGTGGCTTTTTTTTTTTTTTTTCCTACTGAACAGGCCAGCCTGGGTGGGAAGGTTCACTTCCTGGTCACTGGAGCTGCCCCCATCGCCTCTCCAGTCTTGACATTCCTCCGGGCGGCACTGGGATGTCCGGTAAGCCAAGCACCTTCTTTGAAGATAGCTTATTTCACTTTTGCACAAATAAAGCTCAGTCTTTAAAAAATGAAAACACACCTGAAGAACACCATGGAGAAAGTCACCAAAAATCTCAAAATCAGGAGAAAATAATCCTTCTCTTTATGTATCTGTGTATAGAATCCTTTATATAAACTGCCATTAGTTCTAAAATACTTATTAAACCGTGTCCCATCAACATTGGTCCTGGTCAAATAAAGATCTACATCATTTTAGTGGTTCTGAAATGGTTTATTGGATGTACCTAAGTAACTCGTCTCCTACTGGGCACTTAAGTCACTGACTATTTTTTCACTATTATAATCAGTGAAGTGATAAGGATACTTGTGTATCCTTTAGTATTTATGCAATTACCAATTTAGGGTATTAAATCCCTGCAAGTAGGGACTACTGGGTCAAAATATATGGGTTTGCTTTGTATGTTGATGTAGATTATCACACTTCCCTCCAGAAAGATCTTGTCTTTTTTATACATTCCTGCAGATAATGCATGAAATCTTATTTCCTACATTCTTGCCAGTGTCAGGCTTTTTAAGTCATTTAAATCTTAGTCAACCAGATGCATAAAAAACCTCATTGCAGTTTTGTTTCTTTTATTAACACTGAACATCTTTTCTATCACTTATTGGCACTTGTATTTCTTCCATGAATTACTCTATTACTTTCTTGTAGAAAAACGGCCGAACGATAATTGGGTTCCTTTTCACATTGCTTCTAAGAATTCATATAGTAATAATATTAGTCTTTGTTTTGTTAGAAATATTTTTCCTAGTCTCATCTTTTTGCATTGTGGATTGCTATATAATAATTTCAAATGTTTATGTCATCAAACTGATTAAACTTCTTTGTGGTTTTTGAATTGCTTAGACAGGACTCCCCAACTCCAGTATTCCATAAGACTGCTGTCCTTCATACTTTCTGATACTCTTATGGTTTTAATTTTCTAATTAAAGTCTCTCTATTCCATGTGGAATTGAGTACAAGTGCTTGGGTGTGGAAATTCTCTTTTCTCCCCCCAGACAGCTAACTAGTTCATCCATTTGACCAACATGCACAGCACAAGTGAACTAGATCTTTGTCCTCACCACATCCCCTTGGGTATAACCACCAACAAAAAATATTCTGAATTGATGCCAAGGCCCGAGCTCCTCTACTCTTTCAAATTCGCACCCTCTTGGCCATTCTTAATACTTTCATTTCCCTCAGCCCCTAAAACCCATGGATCAGTAGGTCCTTCCCAGAAATGCCGCCTTCTCAATCTCTACAGTCTGCCTATCACAGCCCCTCCCCCACTGCAGTAGCTGAGGCACTGGTTTGCCCCGACAGCCTCTCTCGGGTCAAGGTTATCCTCTATACCAGGGGTTGGCAAACTGCAGCACAGGCCAAATCTGGCCCATTGCCTCTTTTTAGAAGTGAAATTTTAGTGGAAGGTAGCCATGCCCGTTCATTTACATGATGTCTACAGCTGATTTTGTGCTCCATTGGCAAAGCAGTTCAGACAGAGCCCAGAGGCTCACAGCACTGAAAATATTTACGATCTGGTCCTGTAAAGAAAAAGCTTGCCAACCGCTGTTCTATGTCACAGCTGGAGCCATTTCTCTTAAAAAGCAACAACAACAACAAAACACCAAAAAAACAAAACAAAACAAAACACTGCTCCCGTTCTTCAGTTCCCTCAGAAGTGCTCCACAGCCCCTGGGCGTCACTTCACTTCATAACTCGCATTTTCCTATCAACTTGAAATGCTACCTTTCCTGAAATACAGTAGAAGTTTCTAGACTTTGGCCTACTTCTGGAGCCTTTTGGTTTTTGAGTGCATCCAAGTTGTAAAGATTTCGCAGCTCAGGCATGGGTCGGAGGTATTAGGACACCAAGTATCTTCCAACCTTGAGACCTTGCTTTCCTCATATCTTGCTATAGGGCGCTGCTGCCTCATGCCTTGTCTTGAGTCAGTCTCAGACCCTTCTTTGGTTTCCCCAGGTGTTCGAAGCTTATGGTCAGACAGAATGCACTGCTGGCTGTACATTTACGTTACCTGGGGACTGGACATCAGGTAGGTTCTCCACCTATTGGGCGGGAGATGCAGTGGTTGGGAGAAGGGTTCTCCCAGAACGAGGGCTTAGGTGAGATAACCTCAGTGCTCTGGACAAATGTGGCAAATGCCAAACTCAAGTTTCAGTCCAGACGTTTCTATCTTATTTATCCAGCATTGGCACCACGTAACTTTTTAGTCTTTTTCTTTTAGAGTCAATCCATCAATCTCTCAGAAATGTGCCTGGAATTATCAGTTTCATGGTTTCCCAGCTGAATTAATGTGGTGTATTCTAGGGCACGTTGGAGTCCCCCTGCCTTGCAATCACGTGAAGCTGCAAGATGTACCTGACATGAACTACTTTTCAGTGAACAATGAAGGAGAGGTGGGTAGGCTGTGCTCTGTAGTCACGCCCAGACAATCACAGTAGAGAGGTTTATGTCAGAAAGAGCACCCAACCATGAGCAGAGTTGGGTTTGACTCAAATCTTTAACAAGGAACTGAACATCTGTGAGCCTCACTTTCCTAGCCTCTACAACAGGGACTAAAATCTGCTGGTGCTCCCACTGTAGTGGGAACCACTGAATGGTTTAAAATGGGAGGAGGTGTTTTGTCAAGTGCCTCTGCTGGGAGTTGCAACCTTTGCACTGTGACCACCCTGTGCTGTCTTCTGTGCAGATCTGCATCAAGGGCAACAATGTGTTCAAAGGATACCTGAAGGATCCAGAGAAAACCAAGGAAGCTCTGGATGAGGATGGCTGGCTTCACACAGGAGACATTGGCCGTTGGCTCCCGGTGGGTGCTTCTTCAAAATTTCTAGGAGCCTCTTTTGGACTGAAGAGAACTATCTGATTATAATATGCAAGATGGGCAGAGATGTGAGTAGATTAAATCAGCTGAGGCAGCTGGGTTAGGGATGTATCCTACCTGGCTTGTGGCATCCTCATACTATGAAGAGGAGATCAGTACAGCTGAAGAACCTAGGTGGGAGATCCGTGTTCTAGTCCTAGCTCTTCCATGGACCAAAAATTTAATTCCGAGTAAGTCCCCACACTAGAGTTACAGAGGGCCATGCCTTATTAGTCACTTCCAGATAATGTCCATTAGGCTGAACTGAAGGGTAATTTCTGGAGTCTGCCTTCTTCATGGTTCCATGGTTGGTTCAGTCTGTTTTCCTACTTAGGGTGCGATCATGTAGATTGTATTTGCCACTTGTCCCAATTCTACAGTTCAAATCCCTAAGAACCTAAGCTCCTCAGATCAATTAGCTCAGAGAAATGAAGCTGCAAATGACCTCTGGTGGCTGGTCAGAGCCTCCCCCAGCCCTGCTTCAGTCCTACCAACCACAATTATTGACTTGCTTGATTAGCATTAGGACAGTGATGCTATCTCAGCCTGCTCCAGCATCTAATAGGAGCAACACATAAAAGGGAGTCAAGGAGAGGGAGATCTAACTAATCCAGAAGTCTTAGTATGTAACTCCTTCCCTATTCCTGAGAGTTCTGGAAATGGAATAATTGGAAATTAAGTTATTGGAAATTCAGAGCTGCAAAGTTTCTTCACTGGATGAGGCAACCATTTATACAACTTCAGCAGGTTCTGGGGATGCTTTCTGAGGCTCTCCACAGAGCACAAAACAGTACTGACAGGTTCTTGCTGGAAGCCGCTCCCCTCCCCTTTCCCCAAAGCTAACAAAGAGAAATGAAAGTTTGCTCAAAAGTCTCTAGAGAGATCAAGTTTACAGAAGGAAAATACCTGTGACTTTGCCACTCTATCCACTGACATCACCCATAGGGCTCAAAAACACTGATGCTGTTCTCTCTTTCATATAGAATGGAACTCTGAAGATCATTGACCGTAAAAAGAACATTTTCAAGCTGGCCCAAGGAGAATACATTGCTCCAGAGAAGATAGAGAATATCTACGTCAGGAGTAGACCAGTGTTGCAAATTTTTGTGCACGGGGATAGCTTACGGGTAATACACTGTTTTAACAATAGCTATTTTCGGGTACAGGCCATGCTGGCTCCGACAGCTACAGGAAATCTGGATAGATGGGTTTAGGATGAGAAGATTTGAGCTTATAAAACCAAAGAAGTGAAGTCACACTCCAATCCTCAAGGCAATACATACGTAAAAAAAAATTGTTTAACTATGATGCAGTCTATGAACAAGTCAATAGAATTGTTGTAACAGTTATTCTAAAGGGTAGCCATTCAATAACAAAGGGCCCCATGTCACACTTAGTTTCCCACTACAGTGGGAGTTCCTCTGGTACAAGGAACTATTTTACACATACTGTGCTTAAGCTTAACTTTTGGGGAGTGGGTGGGGTTTGGCAAAAGACAGGCCAGAGATGCTTTAGGCTTAATGCTGAATACCATTTCTTTTTGAATCATCAAATTTGAATAGAACATTTTTGTAAAAAGATATTGAGTAGGAAAATGGGATCAGAATTCCATGAAGGTTTGAAATACATGGTGAGACAAGAGTGTATAGTATAGTATATTGAACTGAGGTCTTGGGGAAGTACCTATTACCAACATAGAATCCTGCTGTCTTCATCCAGTGTGGGACACCACTATCCTAGCTCTCACATGCCCTTATTTCCTTTCTATAGTCGTCCTTAGTGGGAGTGGTGGTTCCTGACCCGGAAGTGCTGCCCTCATTTGTAGCCAAACTTGGAGTTAAAGGCTCCCTTGAAGAACTGTGCCAAAACCAAGTAAGTCTCCTTTAAGCAAGCTCTATGCACACCCCTGGGGCCCCTGGTGGGAGAGCAGAGGAGGCCCCACCAAATCAGGCACCAATGATGCCTTCCTCTTTGGAAGAACAGACTCTTCCTGCACTTGGGATAGGTGGCTGTAGCTGAAATAGATTGATGGGTTTTATTAGATTGGAGGATAGGATGGGATGGGAAGTTAAACAAAAACCCTCTATTCTTTTTATAGTATGTTCATTATGGGGGAAAAAGATTGGAGAATAGAGAATCAAAAAATGCCATCCAGAGAAAATCCCTGTTAACATTTAGATTTGCCTTTCCTTCTCATTAGCTTTTTGAGCAATATTAAGCATAAAATGTGCTTGTTTATACATATACCTATATCCTGCTTTTATCCTGATGAGCTTTTGTAGGCATTTTGAGTTGGTTCACGTTTAGCCTTTCGTTTGTCTCTTTTTCAAACCGGCCATGCTTTAAGCTGTGTTTCATATTCTTAGGTTGTAAAGGAAGCCATTTTAGAAGACTTGAAGAAAATTGGGAGAGATGGTGGCCTTAAATCCTTTGAACAGGTATGTACTACTGATGTAATCCTGGTCTCTCAAGCCATACTAGAAAGTCTTAATGTTTGGATTTGTAATAGGGTTTCAGTGTAACTTCCAAGGAATTTATTTGAGGTTTTGTACCATTAACCCACTAAGTACAAATGGCAGTGATCTTTCGTAGTTACTTGTACAATCTTTTTTTGCCATTTATTATCCATTTTCCCTTCTCGCTTCTTTCCCAAATTATCAGTTTGTGGGAATGGGCATGTATTACTGTTCTCTTGACCCTCCCACTTCATCAACCCAACTTTTCTCAAGTTCTTTACAGTATGCAGGGGGCTCTGCAGAAAAGTCTGAATCACTAATAAATGTGTGTGTGTGCACACATCTTCTCTTCTAGGTCAAAAGCATCCTTCTTCATCCAGAGCCATTTTCCACTGAAAATGGGCTCTTAACACCAACACTGAAAGCAAAGCGGGGAGAGCTTTTCAAGTACTTTCGAACCCAAATCAACAGCCTGTATGAGAACATCCAGGAGTAGATTAAGGTACTTAGAAGCTGGAGGGGGCTCAGAGGTAGCCTGCCTTGTAGGAATATGGATTAAAAACTAATCTTACGTTCATCTTCTGTCCTTCCTCTTGTCTGTTATTTTAGCTACTAAATTAATAAAAACCATAGCTTACAGCTTTTTAAAAAATGTTGGGAGAATTACGGGCGCCTGGGTGGCTCAGTCGTTAAGCGTCTGCCTTTGGCTCAGGTCATGATCCCAGGGTCCTGGGATCGAGTCCCATATCGGGCTCCCTGCTCTGCGGGAAGCCTGCTTCTCGCTCTCCCACTCCCCCTGCTTGTGTTCCTGCTCTCGCTAAGTCTCTCTCTGTCAAAAAAATAAATAAAATCTTAAAAAAAAAAAAATATTGGGAGAATTATAATGTAAAAGCTTAGCCCTGAACTAAACAAATTTTGTCCTTCCCATCTTAAATGTTGCTGATATTCAGGTTTTTGGTCTACTTTTATCAACATGCCTTTCTTCAAGGTCCACTTGTTATTCTTTGTCCCTTCCTCACAACCTCTAAGCTTTCTAAGTGACCACCACCAGCTCAAGAGCCAAAGTGACTTCTTCCTTGTTGTTTTACAGTAAACCTACCTTGTTGACAGTCCCAGCACTTAGGCCGTCCAAAAATGTTCAAATTAAGGGACCTTTAAGTTTTAAAAAGCTGTTTATAATTCATGTTTTCTAACTATTCCTCAAAACCACTGATTAGATAGGTTAATCTTTTAACCTATCACTAATATCAATCATACCTTTAAGACTACTTTCTTCTATGTACTTCTGTGTACACTAACGTCTGTCCACAGAAGGGAAGTTTGATCATACTGAACGTTTCCTAAACTCCCTAGTTTCTCTGACTTGGGAGAATTAAAAAAAACGGGACCAAAACATGTCCAAAAAGAATGTTCACAAAGTGTTATCTACAGTAGTATCTGATGACTAAATCTTTTCCTTACAGTTTGCTGCTGAACTGGAAGCTATGGGGGAAGGAGTTTAAACTCATGTCAAGTGCACTTTTCCAGTAAATGAAGCTAGCACTGAGGAAAAACCTCCTGAACTGGGAACAAAGACCTATGGGCAAGCATGGAGCCTACACCACAGGCTTATCTTCTGGGAAGGAACCGACTGATCTTTTCTCTACTGGACTCCAGTTCCTGCTATACCTTACCCCCAGACAACACATGTTGCTTCCACTTGTAAAGCCTTGAAAATAAACTATCACAAACATGTACACTGTGGTGTGTGTTTCCTCACGGACCATGATGAGAATCAGAATCAAGGACCACTTAATCAAGTAAGCTAGTGGCTCTCAAACTGGGTTGTACACTAGAATTACCTGAGGGGTTTAAAGAGATCCTAATAATGGCTGGGTGCCACCCTAGGGATTGTGACTGAAATGGTCTGGGGTACGGCCTGGGCATCGGGATTTTTAAAAGATCCCTAGGTGATTCTAGTAGGCAACCAAGATTGGTGGCTACTAAAGGCAATGTTGAGAGGCCCAGGCCCTCTTCTCCCACAGCTGCGAATAATAAAACAAATACCAGCTGAGACCAAACTCCAACCAAGCACACGATTCATTGTTTCTTCCTTTACCATCTTTGTTGTGCTCTAAGTAGTCTTGAACAGTGTTCCTTTCTGTCCTCTAACTGGAGGTAAGGAGAATGTTCCTGGATGGTCTTTCTAGACCCCGAGCCCAGAAAAGCTGAAGAAATGTCTATTCTTGAGTATCTGAAACAAAGGGAAGACAAGAATTAACCTACAGGGTCCCTCCGTGGTCTAGCTCCGATTACCACCTTGACCTCCTCTCCTACTCTCTCTCTCCCTCACTCCAGCTGAGCCACACTGGCTGCCTTCCTATTCCTGACATGCCAGGCACATTCCAGCCTGTTTTTCTAGCTGCTCCCTCTGCCTAAGACGCAGCTATTCCCAAAGGCATATGACTTGTCCCTTCAACTGTCAAAGGTCACTTCCATCAGACCATCTTACCTGCTTTCTTCACAATCCATGACTCCATCTGATGCCTATTTTGCTTGTCTGTCTACCTTCCTACCTATCACTAGAATGGGACAGAGTCATGTTTCATTCACTGCTAAATCTCCAAGTGTCCTTCTCTTGATGTTAACTGTTAAAACCCCTAAAGGCTCAAGTTCCCTGCCTTGGAAAGAATTAGTATGGGAGTAAGTGACTTCTATAATCCTACTGTGCTTAGACAAGCTCAACATTAAGCATCCAATCCACCAGCTTAGATCCTACCATTCGCATAAGCTTCAGGTTTTGAGAGATTCAAGTGTACATGAGCAGCTGGAGCTCACTAGGTTCAAAGTTTCCCAGAATGCTGGGATCTCATGCCATTAATTCATTTACTGAATAACGTAAGACTCATGGTTAAAGATGCCAATTTCTCACAAGGTAGTAGAGCAGTTTTTCCACAAAGAACTAAGACAAACCTTTTTAATCAGCCAAAAGAAAGAGGCTAGTAAAAACTAGATTTATACAGAACATCCACTGATATTTATTTGATTTGACAAAATCTGCATTATTAAAAGACAGGTAATAAAATTTCAGCTTATATTGAATCTGACATATGTTCTATAGTATCTAGAATATTACATAAGAAATAACAACTGAGGGGGAAAGAGGATAAAAGCATCACATGCAGATGCTCCTGGAAAAGGGGGAACTACATCTGCAGGTGAGGTCCATAGTGTGCAGCGCACAAAAAAAATCCTAGAGAAAATGCAATTCACTTACTTGGGTGAAGTGTTTTTCCTTTTGGGGAGAGGAAGAGGTGACAAAGAGGGGCAGGAATTCAAAGGCATATGCAGAATGGCTTCTCCATTTCAAAATGGTAATAAAAATATTTAGATTATGGCACTAGGGCACCTTTAAGGAAAAGAACACCTTAACCAGAGTAGGCTCATTGCATAATTCTTTAGTAATATGTACAATTTTCAAGTAATGGAGAGGACTTAAAGAGTAATTTTACTTTAACAGTGGCTATCTATTTTTCTTCTCGCCCTCTGGGACTTGATCTGTTTCAGCATCACAGGGACATTTCTCCACACAGTTTCTAGGGAACCAGCCTCTGATTCGTGAAACACCTGATGGAGAAAATGAAATTAATGTAAATAGACTTAGTGATATTGCTGAGCCAAATAAGTCCCATTACTTCAAGTCAATAAGCTTTTAATTCTGCTTTACTTTTTTCCTCCTTTACCATCTTTTATAAGCATAATTTGAGGAAAAAAAAAATATATATGTTTAAATGCTGTCTATCAAGCTAGAAAACCAGTATTTCCCAAATGCTATTAGCTAGGAAAGGTACAACCCCTTGTGGTTCAGGACAACCCCTAAGTGGAACATGGGGCGGGGGTGGGCAGGATTTCTCAGTATGGGTATTCACTTGCACATGTGTGATCGTGGTGTTTTGGGCACACTGTCATACTTCACCTGTTCCAGGGACTACCTCCCTGTAGCCTCTGTGAATTTCCTTCTTAGGTTTTTTCTAACATGTAAATTTCTAGTATCAAGGTTGACTAAGTAGTCATATGGGGTTAATCTACAATTAACCCAGTGTTTTAGGAAAAAGCATCCAGAATTAATCTTTAAAAAGGAAAAGTTCTAAAAATTAAAAAAAAATTAAAGACACAAAATTTCAATCCATTAGTTTCCATAATTTCATAGGAATATTCATTCACAGGGGGAGCAGAGGGCACAGGGGGTTGGTATACAGGCTCTACAGCTAGACTACCTGGGTTGGAGCACTGGCTCTACTTCTTTTTAGTGCGGTCTTGGGCAAGGTGCTCAGTCTCGGTGCATTCTGTTTTCCTCATCAATGAAAAGTAAATGAGGGCTGTTGGGGGCTTCACCACAAGTGAAGCGCTTCTACAAGTGCCCATCACACAGATCATGAGGAGCTCCAATGTTAGCTGCCACTAAAAAGACCTGATACATAGAAGTGCTATGGAGAAATAATATAAGAAGCCTTTTTCTGTTGCTTGATGATGTGTCTTCCTATTATGTCCCCTAATGCATGTGACACTGATTGTTTATAAGAGTTATTCCCACAAAATTTGGAATTATTACTAGCAGCCTCGTCTATTAAACATTTCCTTCCATTTCCATACCTTCTACAAAGGCATCATCAAGAATTTTATCTCCATACAACCAGTATCTGAAATATTTAAAAGATTAAAATTAGTTTTTTTTAGGCTAGATGCTAATTTCGTCATTAAAGAAGAAATTCAGTACTTTCTATCACTTACCGTAACCCTCTTGTGGCTAAAATGAATTCCCCTTTCTGTAGCCTTATTCGAGGCTCTTCAGTGCAGGGGCTCGTGAAGAAGGTTTTGATTCCTTTATTCAAAGGACAGCAGGCACCGCTGTAATCTTCTATTACTCTATACCGTACCTGGCATCAATAATTAGAAAAACAATTTAACATTTACCCCTGAATTTCTTAAATTTGAATTTAAATTGTTAAAGGTAGATCCAAAATATCAGGTGACAAGTCTTTCCCTCCCAGTTCCTTTATAGGAAGCAACTGATGTTTCTAGTTCTCCAGGCTTTTCTTACCCTGCATTTCAAGCACGTAGCTAAGAATTAAATTCTAGAGCAGTGCTGTCCAGCAGAACTTTCTGCAATGACGGAAATGTTCTATATTTGTGGTAACCAATGTGGTAGCCCCTAGACACATGTAGCTACTGAGCACTTCTAATGTGGCTAGTACAACCAACGAGCTGAATTTTTTATTTTATTTAATTTTAGTTACTTTAAATAGCCACATGTGGCTAGTGGCCATCAAACTATACAGCAGAAGTTTAAGGATGGGTTTCATACTGATGAGCTATATTGAGGATAATTATTTTTCTGTTGGCAATATAATTGACCACATTCCCTCTAAACCGCCAGTAGAACTACTTAAAAGAAAACAAAAGTGAACTGTATCAAATTTCAACAACTGTATTAAGAAACATTATTTAATAAAAGCCAACAGTTGGCTTCTACTCAAAGGCAATTTTGAAAACTATACAGAAGTGTAGAGCCTGACAAAAGGAAAAAGAAACTAGTATCATTGCAAAAATATAACTTACACTTCTGATTCTTTTGTCTGCTTTTTGTTTCAACTGTTCAATCTGTTTGGAGATATAAAAAGAAAATATGTTCTCTCGGTGTTGAAAACAGCCCTTTGCCATGAACTATACCAGAGTGACATGACAAACTCCCAATTTTCCAGCATTCACAGTTGCTGACAATTCAAAGGCCACATATTTTTTTTTTTTTTTTTAGAAAAGTGGAAAGTGGGTCCTATGAGAGTAGGAGCTGACATGAGGCTTTCTTCTCCATATTCTCACTGTCTTCATCTGTATACTCATTGAGCATTCGCTATGGCCCAGGAATCAGGGAGATGTGCTCACTGCCCTCATGGGGCTTCCAGGCTAGTCCTGAAGGTGGACACAGAGATTCACGGATTCTTTAGAGATAAGGTAGACAGACTGCAAAATTCATCCGCAAGTCTCCACTGAAAGTCATCATTATGACTTACTTTTCTTCAGCAACAATCTATTCAGCAATAATTTATTAAATGGTACTATATTAAATATAGTAGGGGAAATCAAGATAACTCATAATCTCTGTACCAGAATCTTGTCAAATTAAAGATATAAAAGAATTAAATAAAAATGAGACCTCATGGGCACCATACAGTAGCTACCATACAGTAGCATATGGTTAAGCGCCAAATCCAGATGAGGTGGGATTGAAACTGGCCTTGATAATTTATGATAGAGAGGAGGTCACAGAAGAGAGAAAAAACAGTGTGGACAAAGAGGTGGCAGGAATGCACAAGGAGTTCACTGAGGAAATCAGGCCGATTGTAAAGTGTGATTTCCGTTAGGGAGAAGTTGGAGGCAGTTTTAGGCCAGATTTTTAACTAAGTGAAGGGATCAGGACTTTGTCACATGTATGAAGGATTAAAGAGAAATTTAAATTAAAAGAGAAACATGATACAAGGAGTGCTTTAGGATTGTTAACTTGGATTTATTTTTGCCAAACTGAAAAAAATTGTATGATTTATTTTACTATAAAATGTCATCTGAGTTAAGGGGCACTTAAGGGGAAGAGGGTGAGACAGAAAGGAAAGCCTATTTGCACAGAAATACATACTGTTAAGCTGTACTGGTGACAGCCTTCTCTTACTGGCCACGTTAGTCCATCTCCCTCAGGGACCCC